CCCCCCCCTGCGATCCTCTCCCTGCTTTTAACCCCGCCCCTCTATTGACCTTTGACCTCCCGGCTCCCATCTTTATTCCACTGTAAATATCAAAAAGTGACCAGAGTCCGCTTCAAACAGACGAACTGTAAATGCCATGAAGGACGAGTCCTGTGACACGTGTAAAACTCAAACACTCATACACACACAGATAGGCACAAGAGGCAGGAGAGAGGCCTTCACGCGACAAACGGCGACACAAGCTGGAGCGTGCACGGCCTCTTAAAGCTCCCCGAGGAAAACTTGTGCTTTTTATGTCAGAAAAGGACAAAAACTGAAGAAAAACCCGATCAGTAATAATCAAGTTGCATTGTGTACGTATGTGGCTGGCTTGTGCGGACAATTAAAGAAAATTATATAAAAAAACATTGTATTTGGATATGGCAAAAAATATTGGTCTGTGTAGAGTTTCTATACATGTTGTGTTGTTTAAACAAGATTACGTCAAAAAGATTTAAAAAATACAAAAAAAAATAATAAATAATTTTGGCTTCCAAGTAATTTCCAGGATGGATCGTTGTTTTATGGCGATATAGGGAGACGTTGAACAAGACATTAAAAATAAAATAACCCAAACGGACTGAAAAAGGTGGAAAACAAAACAGAAAAAGGTTGTGAGCCTAAAAATGACAACAAAAGTGTTCCATACACTGTTGTGAGTGCAACGAGTTAAACTTCCTGTTTCCCTGTTGTAAAACCTTGTGTATGTTTCCGTGTATTCCTCCTGTAAATGGGTGTAGTAGACCTGGTGCATCATGCCATGTAATGTGATGAATGACAAATTATGACCGTACAATACATTTCAATCAGGAAAACAAATAAAAGACAAATGCGTAAAAACAAAAAAAACACTTTGTGCTTTATTTTGTTTTCTCTATAGTTTTTTTTAAATGTGAGAATGAAAGGCCTTGAATTCCTTGATGGAAGGCATATCAGCTGCCAACTTTTAAGCCATTTTTGCGTTTGTTGGTACAGGAACTAGTTTGACTCTAAGAGTTAATTAGTTGTAGCCGCTTGTTTAATGATTACTTTTAAAATCCACCTAACAGAGCAAGATCTGTTTTACATTTTTACCATTTTACAATTTTTAGGAAGCATTATAT